GTCATGTTTACTGTGATCATTACTTGACAGTGTCATGTTTAATATGACCATTACTCGATACTGTAATGTTTAATATGACCATTACTCGATACTGTCATGTTTAATATGACCATTACTCGATACTGTAATGTTTTAATATGACCATTACTCGATACTGTAATGTTTAATATGACCATTACTCGATACTGTAATGTTTAATATGACCATTACTCGATACTGTAATGTTTAATATGACCATTACTCGATACTGTCATGTTTAATATGACCATTACTCGATACTGTAATGTTTAATATGACCATTACTCGATACTGTCATGTTTAATATGACCATTACTCGATACTGTAATGTTTAATATGACCATTACTCGATACTGTCATGTTTAATATGACCATTACTCGATACTGTCACGTTTAATCTGACCATTACTCGATACTGTAATGTTTAATATGACCATTACTCGATACTGTAATGTTTAATATGACCATTACTCGATACTGTAATGTTTAATATGACCATTACTCGATACTGTCATGTTTAATATGACCATTACTCGATACTGTAATATTTAATATGACCATTACTCGATACTGTAATGTTTAATATGACCATTACTCGATACTGTAATGTTTAATCTGACCATTACTCGATACTGTAATGTTTAATATGACCATTACTCGATACTGTAATGTTTAATCTGACCATTACTCGATACTGTAATGTTTAATATGACCATTACTCGATACTGTAATGTTTAATCTGACCATCACTCGATACTGTCACGTTTAACCCTAGACACAGAAGCGACCAACACCATCTGACCCAAAATTTTACCTTAATCCGTAAACACCGCCCTAGTCATAATCCTTAATCCTATTTTAAATCGCATCCGAAACCAGAGTACTTTTATGGTATCATGCTCTTTAACATTGATCCCTTTTGGGCAATATATTGGACACCGGATGTCGACCGAGAGGGGGGGGGGGGGGCAATCGTAATACATAACACAGATTAGAAGGATAGTTTGAAAATATTGATTTTTAAAAAATCTATAATTTTTGTATGCCGTTTTTTTTTACTCCATCTCTCTCTCTCTCTCCCCCCCCCCCCCCCCTATAAACAACACAGCTAACAAAGACTTCCCGCTGCAGCAATAAAGCCAATCATATCCTCCCGGATGTTTAATAATAGTTATCACGTGACACTATATTTAGCATCAAGCTATGACCTATGAGCTTCTGTAATCAATACCGTAAGTTCGGGTTTTCCCAAAACTGGCTTTATTCAACACACGAAAGTCAGTTTTTGGTATTTTGCCCTAAATTAAATAAACAAGAAACTTTATTTCACGCAAGTATTCATGTTATGTAATTTTCTTAGAATAATAACATTAGAGTAAATAAAAAAATAAAAATAATGTCTAAACCAATTGTATGAAAAAGCTTATGAAACACCCGAGGACATTGTGGTTTCTTTGATTTGTATGCGTACTAAAACTTAGGGCAGTAGAGTCACAATGCGAGATGTGGAAGGTACGTAATGGAGGGGCGTGGGTTGGGGTGATGCAGTTTTAAGGACATTGTTTATAGGAACTTAAAGCATAATTACAAGACACACAAAGAAATAAAAATGTTTAATAAAAAAAATATTTCAAACATTGTTTCACCCGAAATGTTTGTTTATAAATTTTTATAAACAGGAATCTTTCCTCTAATTTGTCATATCGAACAATATAGCGGCGCAAATGCCAAGTTATCACCCAAATTTGAAATACATAAAATGTATGGTATACTTGATTATGTGTTGTGATCCATAAATAAATTGAATTTGTGGTCAGCTTCCGACACTTTATCCGAATTATGTCAAGTACACATTAGGGCTGAGTGGACTCAAGAGCAGTAGAACACTATAAACCCCCTCCTCCCCCCCAAAAAAAAACCCCAACACTTTCCGGGTATAAAGAGAACGTTATCTTAAGAATGTTGTATTCCCTTTCCATCCAACGGAAACGCAGGAAAAACGCAGCATAAATAATAACGGTATAAACAGATTGGAATTGATGATTGATGTGCTGCATTAGTTAAGATTGATAACAGGCCTAAGCTTTCTACCCCCCCCCCACACACACAATGCCAACAAATCAATCACGCTTTAAACAAATCAGGGTTTTTTTTCTTCTACATTATTCTACACCCCCCCCCCCCCCCCCCCAACAATGTACAGTTATTATAACAATGAATCCATTTACCCAAAAGGTAATGACGAAGAAGTAAAAATAAAATTAGCGCTATTTTCTCTGCAATTGACCAACACAAAAAACAAAACAAACGCCCTTCCATGAATCAAATCTCCCATCCGATTACACCAGCAGACGAACAAGGGAGATCACTCTCTGATAAACAGAACATGTCGCAACCAGACGATACAAATTGTGCATGTAGCAGCAGAAATACACAAGCAATGTTTCTTTCAGACATTACTTAGAGGGGGGTGGGTGGGGGTGGGGGAGGGGGGGGGCTAATGCCCCCATCCCCGAACAAAATAGAATTTATAAGGAATATTTACAAGTGTCCGTCGTCGTCGTTCTCCCCCCCCCCCCCCCCCCCCCCCCCCCCCCCAGGAAAATTTCTGTTTGCGCATTTTTCTGAGGTGCGCAAATTTCTGTTTGCGCTTTTTATCTGGTTGCGCAATTTTCTCTTTGTGTAATTTTCTGGTCACCCAGGGGAACATACAGTAACGGTCAATGCCATGTAATAAATGTCAGGGAACATACAGTGAAAATATTTGCTATGTGATGTAAAAGTAAAAAAAAAAAAGTTAAAAATCTTTCCCCCGACCCTAGGGGGGCGCCAAAATGGGTTGGAAAAAAATATTTAAAAGCACATTTTAGTTGCAGTTTTGCCTTATAAATATACAAAAATATATGGGGGGGGGGGGGGCACCAAATTGAAAGTGTGTCCCCGGATGGGGGGGGGGGCGCCAAATTGAAAGTTTGTTTCCGGACGCCGGGAAAGGTTGCTACGCCTTGAGGTGGGGGGGGGGAGAGAGAACACAGTACCTTGATAAATAAGAATTTTTTTTTTTACGGAATATGATCCAAAAAACCCACAGCACAAGAAAGAGTTCACTGTGGACACGGTCCTGTAAACTACGTCCTTATTGATCCGAGCCTCGAATCCCGCAAAGACCGCAACAGCTGCGGCGCGCATAAATTATCGACCCAAATCTCATGAAACAGCATAAATCCTGATTTCTCACCCTTCAGTGATCAAACAGAAGGGAGAAAAAAGTGATTCGTTGAACGTATGCCGGCCTAGTGGAGCGTCAGGAGAAGTTTGTTGCAGCATACATATGCTCTTTTACTGCATCCATATGCTTTATGCAGTATAATATACATCCTACTGCATCCATATGCTTTCCGCAGCATACTTACACAACCAGCATTATAATATACTTCTTACTCAATTTACATGCTATATGCAGCATACTATGCATCCACAGCAAACATAAACTTCCATTAGTATACTATGCTTACATGAACTTGCATATGCTTCTTGAGGAATACTCATATTTCAGATAGCATATATTTTATTCATACAGTATACATACAATTCCTTCAGCATATTTGTGCTACATACATCATACAATGCTTCCTGCAACATACATATTCTCCCTGTATAAAGCATATTCTCCCTACAGCATACATATGCTTTCTGTAACATATTTATTCTTCACACAGCATAAATTTAAGCATAATGCAAGCAGCATGCATAAGCATAAAGCATAACCCGAGAAGATGTAGCAGTATTCAAGTCAAACACACAGCACTCAGTATAAATCTAATTTACGTCTAGATTTTCAAGCCCCGCACTAAAGTACTGGCGACCTCGGTATAACAGGATTCAGTAAAGGAAATCAATAATTTTGAGTTCATCCAGTTTTAAATCGACAGCAGATAGAAATATTGCAGTAATTAAAAAAAAATAAACCGGGAGTGATCTCCCCTAAATTTTCTCGAATATTCTTATATAAAATAACAGGGGATGGGAACTCGGGCTATAGACATGATTTTTAATCCATTTTAAATACTTAATGTTTTAAAAATAGAATAAAATCTCGTAGACAAATTAATTGCACACCAAGTGAACGCCAAATAAAAAAGCGCATAATATTATTAGTACTTTTAAAATTTTATTAGTTTTTTGAGAAATCGGAAGTAGCGTAAAGTATTACTTCCAGTCAACGGAAATTACTCAAAATTTAACAGAAGGTAGAGAATTAGATCTTTTACTTACATGTGAAATTTCATTTATCTATCTGAAATAGTACTCAAGTTATAGGCTTTTGAAAAATTCAAAGTAGAAAAAGTACCACTTCCGGTTATCGGAAATCGCTCAAAGTTGATACGGATCTACGATTTTGATAAAATACTTATATATGAAATTTCATCAACCTAGCTGTAGCGGTACTCAAGTTATCGTGTTTACCACACGGACAGACAGACAGACCACACAGACAGACACACAGACATACGGACAAGAATGAAAAATTATGTTTTTCCGTATCAATGAGGTGTAAAACGTCGAGATTTGTAAAAATCTCGATTTTTTTTTTTGCACGATTACAAGACTTTCTCTATACTTCGTATATACGAGAAAGTAAAAAAGGCAAATAGACAAAATCAGGAAAGAAAAACGAAAAAAAAAAAAAAAAAACTATCTCGCGTGTTCGTCTAGATCTAATAAAATAATATTTCTTAGCCTCGCTGTTTTCATCGATTTTCACTTGACATCAACAATTTATTTTTACGCTAAAAACGCGAACTTCCAATAAACACCTCAAATTTAAACCCCAAGCTAACGCCTCACGTGACGAAAAAAAAATAATTTGCATAATTAATGAGTTACGACACGTAACACGAACAACTCCCATTACGTTCATGAAGTCATAACTTAGCCCTAGGTGACCTGATTCATCTCAATCATTCATTCACAAATAATACAAGTTCGACAAATCTCGCCGACTTACCTCCCTTCCCTTTGGCTATCAAGTTTCGAGCCCGTAAAACTGGAAAAGAAAAGAACAAATATCTATTTATTTTTCATTCAGAAATGCAAATGTTTTAGGAAAAACTTACAAATATGTATTTATTTTTCATTCATTAATGTAAATGTTTTGTAAAAATACAACAATTTTTTTTTTTAATACAAGTGTAGTTATTAGATTAGGCATAATGGTAGAATTATAGAAAAAAAAAATTACAGATTACACATATAGGACTACACAGGGGCGTTAGCGAATTTCTTAAGCGTTGTCGGGGAGAAATGGAGGGAAATACATTTTCCAGGGGGGGGGGGGAGGGGGGGGGGGGGCGGACACTGGTAAAAATGTGTACATTTTCTATATATATTTTATCTCGATATGGCGGTAGTGGTGATGTTGGTGGTGGTGGGGAAAGCGGGGGGGGGGGGGGGGGGGGGTGGAAATGAAAGAAACTCTGATTGCCGCTCCCTCAATTAAAAAAAATAAATTATAGATAATTTTTTTTTATATGTAGTCGTTTACATGTTTGTATATTTGTACATGTGTATGTATATATTTAAATACAGGAATATATTTGTAAAGAAAGCTACATTTTATACAGATATATATATTCACATACACATATGTATGTATATATATATATATATATATATATATATATATATATATATATATATATATATATATATATATATATATATATATATATAAACTTTATACATATATCTACATATAATTTTGGCACCGGCATGCTAACCCGTCGTCAAAAAAAAAAAAAACCCAATAAGCCCTATTGAGCTGCTAAGAATTTTTTATTTCACGGCCACTAGCTGTTAGATCTACACGAATCCCAGGCGACAAATACACTAAACCTCTTAAAGTCACTAACCTACGTAAACCTCTTAAAGTCACTACCCTAGGGGCAGTTTCCCACCATGCCCGTCCGTCAATACAGTACCGCGCCTGTCGTACAATGTCTAAAACGAGACTGAGAACCTAACAAGAAAGATAAAAGTCTGTAAATCTTTTAACAATGGTTAATGGGGAGGTAATCTCCAGCTTAAGCCGGTCCATTTGAGTCCCATTTAGATCAATGGCGGGCTGTTCACATATTGACTAAAGGAATTAAAGGTCAGAGGCATCAAAGAGATTTGTTAAGTACTAGTAGGTTTTCCCGTGCTTGCCCGGGCTGTTTTTTTCTTTTTCGGTGATGTGTTCCTTATGGCGAGAACGTGGTTAAAGAAATTATATGGTGAAAGAAAATAATATTTTTCCCCAAACATTTTAAAACTATGGTAGCCCATATAAAATATACACTATGTACATGTATTGTATCTTTAAAAAAAAAGTAAATACATGTATATTGTTTCATTTAGCTTGTGGAAAAGGGGAGTGGAGGCCGGAGTGGGTGGGGCAGTGTTTCTGCCAGACTTTTTTCTCGGGGGGGGGGGGGTGGGGCCGACTCTGATAAAAGTATATATTTTCTATATAAACTCTATTTCATTCGGGGGGGGGGGGGGGGTAGAGGGTTTTGTATAGGGGGGGGGGGGGGGTATGCCTGAAATAAACTATGGGTGGGGGGGAGTAGGAAATAGGAGGGGTGGGGGTTAAATTCGATGACTAGTTGTGACGGACCTCGAATAGAAATTATTCTATTCGACGATTCTGTAACCAAAGACACATAAAACATGCAATAAACTTTGACGCAACAATACAAAAAAAAAGTTCACAGAAATTTATGAAGAAATTCTTCACGGCCATCGACACATGACGTCACAACCACACCGCCTGCCATTCACGCTCCGCCGCCGTTTTTGAAAGTTGTCTGCTAAAACAAACAGGCCGGTCGTCTGCCAGTTGAACACACGACAGCAGTTAACGGTCCTACAAAAATGGAGCTAGATTTAAAAAAAAAATCTCTCCCCTGTGGCAGAGTGAGGTCACGCGACTTTGTCACGTGTGAACGTCTGGGATGTGGGAGGGGCGGGGTGAGTGCGGTGCAAGACAACATCGGCCCTGGGGCGGTACCCATATGTGATGAAACCCTCTATAGCAGCCTATTGCCATATGTCACTATATGTGTGCTCGCGTCTCACATATGTCACGATGACAAAGAACGACTTTTTGTATGTATACAAAGAAAAATCGAAATCCACGAACTCTGTCATAGTCTATCACGTATTATTAAATCGTTTGCGTTAGTGTGTTAAATTCACGATACATCTGATAGACTTTGTTCTTTTTTCTCTGGGAGGGGGCACAACCACATATGCGCGAGGGTCAAGGCAGAAAAAATGTAAGAAGAAGTAGTGAAAATGTGTCAATGACCTGTTGGGGTCAAGTGAGAGAAAATGTCAAAATGGCCAGTTGGGGTCAAGTGAGAGAAAATGTCGCAATGACCAGTGGTGGTCAAGTCAGTGAAAATGACCAGTCACTACAGACCAGTCAGTGAGAAAGATATTTCTTTTTGTTTACTTGGGCATCCGCTACCAAAACTGATTTACAAAAACCTTTACCGCATCTGTTCCTAACACCCAAGTTACATTTAAAAGGAACTTATAAATAAACCTAATAGGATAAAACGGTATAGCAACGAATGTTTTCTTCTGTCAGTATAGATTAGTTAGGGATTAGGTCAGAATTATTGTTAGTATCAGTATTAGATCTAGGGTTAGTAATACACATCTAGATAATAGATTTATTTCGATCTGCGACGTTTTTAAAAGTACAATGTCATTTTCTATTACATTCAAAATGTCTTTGACGATACGCTTTCAAGCCTAATGGCAAATTCAGGCATAAGTGGCGTAGCTAGGGGAGGGCGGGTGGGGCGGCCGCCAAGGGAGTTGGAATGGGTCGCTACGACTCTGAGATAAAGTATAGTGTATTTGAGTCTATGACCTCTACACGTGAAAGGATTGTGTAGTCAGCTTTTTAACTTTCCCCATCTAGGACCTTAGGGCTGAGTCAACGCAGATCCACCGTCATCTTATAAAGCTGTAACAGGGTAACTAAAACATCTCCACCAAGAACCAACGACACATTACTGAGTAACAAAACGGCGCTAGTTAAACTAAAAATGTGACATGAAATATTTATTGATTTTAAATCTTGAAAGCACAGCTGTGACGCCAATTTAATTTAAGTTTTTTTTTTTTAAAGAATCGTAAAGTTCTGTTTGCTAAACTACTTAATGAATTAGCGGTTCGGTCACGTATGCAGTTCGCGAGATTTAAATTTTCAAGTTTTTTCTATGAGTGGAAAACTAAGTCGGCAAGCTGTCAAACGGGAATGAATATTTGAAGTATAGGCCTTACGTATACTCAGACTTGCTGGTAAAAACAGCAATAGCAATACAAGATGCAAAAAACGCAGGTAGGCTGTGGCGTCACAAGGTGGGGTGTCACCAGGCGGGGGTGGCTGGGGGTGTCGCCCCACCGCCTGCCAACAATTTTGCATTTTAAATTTGGTGTCACTCCTCTCCCCTATATTTTATTATTTTTAACTCGATAAAACATTGTTCTGACGATGAAACACCCACACGAGAAACACCCATGACCCTAGGACGTGTGTAAGGTTGGAAATCCTTACAAAATCCTTACAAAACACAATAAGCCTACTACTCTGAAACAATATGACAACATGAGCTAATCAGGCCTCCATTAATCAGTCAAACAACTTTTTAGACAATGACGGAACAAAGACCAACGACAGTGACGTAACAAAGACCAACGACAGTGACGTAACAAAGACCAACGACAGTGACGTAACAAAGACCAACGACAGTGACGTAACAAAGACCAAAAACAGTGACGTAACAAAGACCAACAACAGTGACGTAACAAAGACCAACGACAGTGACGTAACAAAGACCAACGACAGTGACGTAACAAAGACCAACGACAGTGACGTAACAAAGACCAACGACAGTGACGTAACAAATATCAACGACAATGACGGCAGACGACAGCGACGTAACAAAGACCCATAACTGTGATACGTACCATAATTCAATTACAAATCTTACATAAAAATTTCTATTATAAATATTTATTACACAGTTCCATAAAGAGCCTTTAGTACACGAGCTCTATTATCTGCGGGGCTGGAGAGCAAAGTGTCCCCCCCCCCCCCCCCCGTGAGAAATGAACGCACATGAACTCACACAGCCCAGCACCACGTGATATTTTTGTTTTAGGTGACTGATCTATTCTTGTCCCCGGTGGGAAACACACACCCGATATTAGATACGATTGTGTGTGCGTGTAATTTGAGAGTGGCGTCACAAAGGGGGGAGCTAGGGTGGGGGGGGGGGTGTCAATGATATCTTTACTTTTAGATTGAAATAAATGTGAAGAGAATACGAGGTCCCACCCAGGGAGCACCCCCCACCCCTCCTCCTGATGGAACACGGGTATAATTAATGAGGATTTAGGACAGATTATTAGGGTTCTGGTAGGGTTGCTGGTCTTACTGTAAAGCCGCTAGTTTATGTCAATATAATCAGACGGATTAAAGACAAGGTTAAAATGGGAATTTTGAATAAGCACATAAAGAAACAAGGAAGGATAATTAAAAAACCCACAAGAAATAAAAAAAGAATGCATTAGGAAATCATTTAGAATATTGAATAGGAATCAATACATTGAAATGAATACAGTAACATATTACTTTGAATTGCTTAAATCGATGGCGACACGGAATCTAGCAATACCCTAAGTTTCAAGAGGTCGACCATCGATGACGTCATTATAGTTTTGTTTTTATTTTCATCTCCTTAACTTTTGTTTTGTGTGTTAAAAATCTATACCCCCCCCCCCTTAAATTGAAGTGCTTCCCAAAATAATTATTACCAACATAAATGTTATATCTCGTTAAAAGATTTTCTTCTTCAAAAAAGCACCATAATATATATTACGTCACACGTCCCAGGTTTACAGTAAAACATTTGAACGAGCTTTGAAAACCAAATTTCAGCTTTCAACAAACAAACTTTAGAAAACTTGATTTTATTTTACGTGGAA